AGATAGCAAAGTTGTTGTAAACAGCAGAAAATAAGCCTAATTACATATTTAATATCAAGTATCAAATAATTTCTTTTGAGAAACAGTTTTCTCCTAACTTAATTAAAAAAGTTTTTATTACTTAGATAGTAGGAAGAAGCCAATTAATGTGGATAATATGCTATTATGTCTTGCCAAAACAGTGCAACCATAGTAAACTGATGCAAGTACGTTACAGTTGTAGGGTGGTCCTTAATTTCTGTGTTTTTATATATAACACTCTTACCCCCTCATTTTGTTCCAATATATAAATGATTAATTCACACCAAATTTTATCCATATTAAGTAACATTTAGGGGTTGCTTAATATAGTTGAAATTTTTTCTTGTAGCTTGCATTATATCTGCATATTCTAGAAGGTTCCAGAATAATCTAAAAAAATTCTGGAAGGTTATACATTATTATAAAATATTTTAGCACATTCTGTAATATTCCATATTATTCATAATGTTTAAGAACATTCTATTTATAAATAATTAATGCTGTCATGTTTTACTTGTGAAATATTTTATATGATCTTACATTAATTAGTTTCTAGAATTTCTAGAGATGATTATTGAGAACTTTTTCAACTAGCTATAACATTTCTTGGTGGCATCCTTTCTCATGGAGTGTGATTTATAACACTGGAACACCACATCATGCACAATGGGAAGCCAAGGCATTCATTCACTTAAGATCTGGATGTTTATGAATCAGTTTAAGCTCATTGGCCATGAGAAAATAGGACTCTGTGTCATCTGCATTTTTGTTATTTGAGTTTATCTTAGGACGTGGTTCACTGCTCCTGATGCCATTTCTGCTCCTCGCAAAAATGTGCTGAACATTTATGGGATCTAAATGAGGAATGTATTGTGTCAGAATTTCAAATAATATATATATATATAAAACTTTCCTTTTTGTCAATTGTCAAATAAAGGCTTTTAGTTATATTTATTAATTGTATAAATATATACTATGTTATTGTTGGGCTTAGGAGTCTTCTACAATAAGTATGTGTGACTTGTTAGGGATAAATTCAATGATGAGTAAACAGCATGCACTTCACTTGTTTTCAAAATAATGTATATTTTCATAACAAGTTAACGTATGTACAATATATTTTTCAACATTATAGATATTATGGGCATATCATTAATCATATATATGTAGTTCTCTCCTTCTTGTCAAATATCCACTTAGGCCTATTCAATTGCTTTAGAGTTTCAGTTGACAAGCCAAACTATCTTCTCTATTTCTATCGCACTAGTATTCTCTGTGATTCACTTACAATTGTGATGCGAGTTACCATAATCATTTGGACTTCTTTCCTTTGAAGATCATCTGCTCCTTTTGTCAAAGTGCACTCAGGCTGATTCAGTTACTTTACAACCACACTTTGATGGAATAAAATTGTTTTTTTATCTTCATTTTTACTGTTAGTTTCACTCTAACATATTAAATGTTAAGCCTATGTCACTTGTTAGGCCTATTACTTCTACAGTAGTTAACTCCACTCCAACTTTATTCCCTTTCGCTATTATCTGTCTGCTTCTTCCCGCTTGTCTCATGTTATTTATATCTTTATCACTTAATCGTCTGCCCGCCTTCTATATTCTCGATGTAAATGAATTATTAGCAAAACTTCCTACAATAGCCTGCTTTTAACTCTTATTATAACAAAAATTAAACAATAATAAAATATTCACTCACAAAAATAAATCAATCAATAACATCTGAACTAAACAGTCTTTTATATCGTGACACATTGGTTTGGCATTCTTTGATCCAGCTGTATCCATAAAACAAGCAATGATAAAGGCATTAAATGAGTTAGGAAGGCATGGATGAACCTCTATTTCACATCCAAATATGACTATCAGGAAGTCTGAGGACATGTAAATCAAAAATATCTTTACAAAGAATAAAACAGACTTCTTCAGGCACATCAAAATTATGACTAAGCCATGGGAGCTTAGAGAGGACTACAGGAAAGCACTACAGACAGTTCAACACTTGAATATGGTAAATGACAATGCTGAAAGGGCTGTGGCCTTTACTGAGGAGTATAATGCTGTCATAACAAAGAAAGAAGAACAGAAACACTTCCTCTTTCAAATTGTGCAGGATTATAGAAGATGCTTTTGTAATGTAAAAGTGACTAACCACACCAAAATCGTATACAAATCATATAATTATAATATACATGCAATAAAATAATAATATATATTAAATGATTCATTAATAATACATAAATATGGTCGAAAATGAATGAAGTTTGACATTTGATGTTTTTTTGTTCATTGGAACAAAGTTAGAGGGTGAGAGCTTCAAAATTTGTAAAGTGAAAGTTTACCTGAAAATAAGGACCACCCTAAAATACATTTGTAATGACTTCTCTCTGAAGTGATGATGAATCATGTAACTAATAAAAAGAACTTGTATGTTTACTCTGTATCACAGTTTGAAACTTTCTTATGTAAGAATAGAATTCAAATATGAAGATATTACTCAAAAAGTGTTGTTAGAAATTAATAATTTAAAAAGATAATCTCTAGTGTTATCACATTGATTACATTTAGGAAGGTAAAATATATTGAATGAAGGTTAAAATTCTTTTAAAGTGTTTTAACTGTGTTTATTTGCTTTTTTATACTTAAGTGTATTTGAGCAAAACTACACCTAAACCTTGCATTTTAACCTTTCTCAACATTTTATCAAAGTTACTTAAAAAACTTTGTTAGGATTGTCTACTTTCAATGAGCAAAATTGTTCTGTGATACATTTGTAGCTCAGCCTTAAAGATAAATCAAGGCATTATTGTTATGTAAATACAAATTGAGATTTTTTTTTCATATGGTAATAATAAGTGTAAAAAAATATACGTTGATCTAACTTAAACAAGACCTAAAGAGTGTGACATTAGTTTGGTTTTTATTCATTCATACTTCAATCTGTTAGCTATGTAACAACAAAATTCAGAGTATAAAGTATTCTACTTTTAGGAATGAAGTATTTATACAGGTTTGTAGGTGTCATAATGTTCACACAAATGAATATTTTGTCTTTTACTTTTGTTGAAATGCCGCCAATGGCTCAGTGGTAAGTCTGAGAGCTCACATTGGTAAAATCTAGATTTTGATATGGTGGGCACAGCACATATAGGTCGTTGCATAGCTTTGTGCTTAACAATGAACAAACACTTGTTGAAACATTCATTCTGCTGAAAGTTGGTCTCAGTTAATTCATTCATTATCAAACAGTTTACCAACTCAACAGTATGATTGTAATATCCTTTTATTGCAGCAAATATCACATTTCAGAGACACCACATTTTGATTATTCAGAAAACATTTATGATAATTATACTTTTTTTTTTTTAAATACACAATCAATGCAAAGTACTAATAGATTCCCTTAATATAACTTTTTCTACCACAGGGATCATTATGTAAAACTTCCTATCTACAAAAGTTTCTTGAACAGTTTAAAAGTTAAATTTTTTTATTACCATTGTACACTTTAAAACAGAGCAAAAATGAAACATTTAATGTCTTCCTTATCTTTTGGGCAATGTAACAGGTTTTTCTTTGCAAATACAAAGCCTACACTGACTATTCACTTTATTAAGACCCACTCCTGATATTGAGTTGGACAACATTTTGCCATTATAATAGCTGAACTCGCATAACATAGACTTCATAAAGTTATGGAAGTTGTCTTGTTTTATTGTATCCCATTTATTGAGAATTATGGTTTATATTAGATGTGAATTTCAAGGTTCATACTAAAAGGTTTGTTTGGATTGAGATTTAGAGCTCTTCTGGAAAATTAAAATTACCCACATGACTATCAGCAAGTTGTATTGTTATAATATCACAAGCAGGATCAAGTATGTTATGTGGTTTCCTTGTTAGCTTTATTACTAGTAGAGAAAAATAATAGTAAAATGTAAGACACCAGACCATATCATTCATGTTTAGTTATTCTTATTCTACAGGTGTTATTGTAAGTTTAGCCTGATTTTATTTGACATAAAATTTTTTTTTTGCTTGTTATCATTTGCTTTGTAATAGTATGTTTATTGTCTTTCTTATGATTTTAGAACTAGTTGAATTCTGACCACTGAAGGAGTTGGGCAGTTGAAATGTATTATGATGTCTGTTACCTTTGTGATTGTTCAGTTGTAGCCAATTCATTGAGGATTATTATGTGCATTTGGTAAACATGATGCTCAAACTCATCCTAAATCACTGTGTGATTGAGATCAAGTTGTTGGACTGACTAAGAAAGATTAAAATTTCACACACATTTCACCACATCCAACGAATTGCTCTCTCAGAAGAACACAAGCAGGGTCAAGTAGCTTGTATATTTTAAATCAGAATTTACCTCTTCTATCAATAGAGAAAAGGGGGAAAATATTATTTATCAGATCATATCACACACTTCTAGACATTTATTGAATACAGTTTACACCACTTTCTCTGCATATGTGATGAGCATTTCTTTTGAACTGCCATATAATAGTATTTTTATTGTTATTTGCATGGTATCATTAGAGTTAGTTAGACCACTGTTGAAAGAATTGAACACTTAGGACATAGCCTAATCATCAATCATCAGTAGTTAGCAACAACCACAGGTTTTCCTAGTAGCAGAAATATTTCTATTTTAATATCCACTGTTGGTAAATTGATTAGGAATGTTATTTAAACAGGTAGCAAAGAAATGGTCTTTGAAAAAGATGTTTCTACTAGCCATGCACTTGCTATCTTGGTTTTTGAAAGTTGAAGAGCTTCTTGTTCTTACCAATTTCTTAATCGAAGTTCAGTGATTTTGATTATTGCCAGTGTGTGTTGAGTTTGTTTCTTGTGCAAAAATATGTTGATGGCTAAATCTGTAAAGCTTGACAACACCTTCATTTTTTCATTATTAGTTTTTCAGTTATCCTTTTGAACTTTTAATTTACATTTTCACAGGAGACTTTCTCCACTTCAAGATACTAAGGATGGCTGAAAATAAAACAAGAATAGGTTTAGCACATCAGCAGAATTCATCAGACAATGGTGAACCATGTGAAGGATTAGTGCCTTGTGGAAAGATGACTGTTCATGATGAATCTAATTCAAGGTTATGTTTGGAGGATGATACAGCTGAAATTCTTTCTCAGGAGCAAATGAAAGCCTTTGAACAGTCCCGAGGGAAGATACCAGAAACTGGGAAAAACCAGCAACCACAAGATGGTGAGTGCAGTTACAAGCATCCTACATGCATCAGAATTTCTCAAGAACAAAGAAGTGGTCTTATAGGTGAGCTAAATGTAGATATTGAAGCCTTTTATACAACCAACTTGTGCAAAAGTTGTAAAACTAAATTACTGTGCAATGTTTTTAGTGCAACAAAGGATTTGAAAAGAAGTATTACAGATGTCAAGAGACAAACAAGTTGCATATCCATACTTTGTAAAGATACCATTCATAACTGAGTGTAAGACGTTCTTAAAAATTTGATCATGATTTCAGTTTTTCTTTAGGTAAATATTTATAGAATAGCAATATTTTTAAATCAACTAGATCAGTGCAAAATCCAAAGTAATATTATGGTTCCTCAACAGTTTTCCAAAACAATGGATAACTTATGAGGATTAGGAAATGATTATTATTATAATTTCTACAAAACTAAGTTAGTTAAAGACAACCTTTTTTGCTTTATGCAGGATTTCAAGAGTTGCAAGGGCCATTTAAATTTCATTCTGTAGAAAGATGTCTTAAATTAGTGAAAAGAAATGGCATTTATGAATAGTCTATTTAAGAAACACTACTCACTTCTCCACAGAAATTATAGTTATTAATTGTGTGTTTGTCTAAAACATTCTTGTGCATGTGTCAAGCCTTAAATGAAACTCCCACCTCTACACTTATTATTGAGTACTTCATCAGCCTATGATGCAATTAACATTAGACTATAGACCTTTTACCTTTTGGAGAGTGACACATTTTTCATGTGCCATAAACCCCATGAGAACCTGTGCCGTAATAAAGGTTCATTTATGACTGGGCAAAAGAAATACACCATAAGTGTTGAGAAAGGATAGAAGGGGCTGTGGAGGAATGAGTACACATTTTTAGGAAAGAAAAGTGTTAACTTCAGAAGTTCTACAACCTTTCCACAGAATTGATTGCTATAATCTCACAATGATAAGATTGTGGAGGGAGTGATGTAGAAAAAGTTTTGTTGAGAGGTGAGTAACAATTCTGATGTTGACATTTTTATAACCTGAAAATGTATTTCGGGTAGATACTTCTCCACAGAACTGACAGCTATTAGCTCGCACCACTACCCAAACTATTTTTGCATGTGTGCTAAGCCTCAATTGAAATTCCCACCACTACCTGTAATATTGTGTACTGCACCACTCTATTATGCAATCAGCATTAGACAATAGCCCTTTCACCAATAGGGACGTAACACATCCTCCATGTAGACAAACTCCATGAGCACTCATGCCTTAACAAAGGCTCATTTTTGATGCAGTAAAAGAAACACACCAAAAGTGCAGAGGAAAGATGGGGGGGTTCAGTTGAGAGATGAGTAGTATTTCTGAAGTTGATGTTTTTCTGACCTGAAGATGTTAACATTTATTATATTATATAAGAAAGAAAACTTATAAAGAGAGTTATTGTAGATTTACAAGGTACAGATAGGATAGTAAAATGTTAGCTATTACTAACAAGTTAGTAGTACGCTGTAAGTATGGTCTGATACAACTCAAATCTCAGTTTAAGTATGATGAGTAACACATTTTCATAAAATGTTAACTGAACTTCATAAATTCATATATATATATATGTTAACTATCTGTTTATTGTCTTGACATCATTAATTTTTATGAGGAACTGGTCAAAGCAAATTTTAATATAATTTCTAGAGGAACTCAGATGGGCCTTTCAGAGATTGAATTTAAACAGATAAGCAGTTAGATGATTGGTTCAAGTTTGGCAACCATTTCAGTTTTACTACATGAAGCTCAGACAAAACAAAAGTGATGTTTGATGCTTGCTCATTGTCCTTGTTCAGTAGAAACAGAGAATGACATAGTTGCACATTGGCACATCATCTCCATGAAGAAAGTGAAATACAATTTGTGTGAAGCTTAGATAAATTCGCTAGTTAAATATACTTTAGATGTTTTATTTGGTGCATTAAATAATTCGATACAGTAAGATGAGCTGCACATTCACTAAGTGATTTACTTGTATGGTGGGTGTGTATGTTATTGTCAGATATTACAGACTGTTTAGTGTAGGTATTGGTAATTTATTTACTTTGTGAGTGAATATTTCATGATCGTTTAGTTTTTTCATAACAAGAGTTAAAAGCATTTATTTTAAAGGTGATAGTTGTGACAAGTTTGGTTACATAACTCAGTAAGAATTGTAGGTTGTGTTTATAATTCATTGATATCAAGACTATTGAAAGTTGCGTGCAATCCATTAATGTCAAGGATATAGAGATTTGTAGAAGGCCTAAGTGATAGATGTATAAATAGCAGCAAGTAGACGAGAAAGAATAGCAGAAGAGAGTAAAGTCGCGGGAAGGAGAAGTTCAGTCAGAGAAAAGTTAAATGCAGAGTTACTCATCATGGGAGTGAAAGGCCTAACAGTGGATATGTTAGAGTGAGATTAACAATTTCGTAAGAGATAAGGAGAATAAGTTGTCTCGTCAAAGGGTGTTCTAAAGTAATTGAACCCACCTAAGTGGACTTTGACAAAAGGTAGACGATTATGGGGGGTATGGGTAAGCAGATGATTATTGGAAGTTCAGGATACAACTGCGATAACTCAGTGACAGCGTAAGTGGACTATACACGGACACTATAGAGATAAAATGTAGTGAAAAATAGTTTGGCTTGTCAACTGAATTCTAAAGCAATTGAATTGGCATAAGTGGACTTTGACAAGAAGAAGAGAACTGTATAGTGTTTAAGATACAACTATGATCTCCATAGTGTAAAGAATTTTTGTATATACGTTTAACTTGTTTCAAATATATATATATATTATTTTAAAAACATTGGAGTGCGTGCTGTTTGTTTGTTATCAAATTTATTGCCAACAAGTCACAGACACCTACTGTAGAAAAATCCTTAGTCCAACACACCTATATTTAACTTGCATTACTATATATTTCTACTAAAAAAGCAAGTTTTTTGACAGTTAGATGAAGTTCAAAGGTCAATAAAACAATAAAATTAAGTATAAATAGATGTATACTGTTATGAGCTTTAAGATATTTAGGATAAACAATTGTAGTTTCCTGTTTTATTTTGCAGTCTTTTTAGAAAGAAAAAAAGGTTAATTTAGATTTTCTAATTTTTATGGGGGTTACAAGGTCAGTCAGATCGACCAATCCCATATAGAGTTAGGGTAAAGAAAAGAACAGAAGAAATATAATTTTTTCTGGAAAATAATGTTTGATTTTCATTTAGGAGGTTTTAGAGATTATGCAAATGAAATTTGACAATTTTCAGGTGAAGAAAAGTATTTTTAATCTTATTAACATGAAAATCACTTTGCACTAGGAGCACTCAATATGGTGGATATGAATTAGGTGCAATGCACCTCTCCTGTGTGGAAAGAATTAATTCAATTTTGAATGTAATTCTGTAAAAGGTCATGGTATGGGCATTTTGATCTATCTGTAGTGAGTGTGTTAACACATGAGCTACAGTGGGCATGAGGCCTTTGAAAACATGTAGATAAATTGCATTCATACATCACAGACAAGCCTTTTGTGCACTGGCTTGACCAGGAGTCTGGAGAGGAAGCTGATGAGAAGGACATTGTCTCAAGTCATGAAGATCAACCTGACAATGGAGAAGAAGCTTCGGGTATTTATCTAGCAGTCTTTGATGAATCAGATGTAAAGTCACTAGAACTGGAAGCAACTACTAGCTCCAACTAGCAGATGAAATGACAGCATTGACTTTCAGATTGATATGGATTGGGTTGGCCATCAAAGCTAAGATGATTAAAATGAAATAGCATTCTTTGATTTCCAAGCATTCAGGTGCTGCACACTGTAATATACGCAATGCCTTGTATGATTTCTACCTTATTATTAAAATCTAAGACAGTCTGATAGTTGGAAGACTACTCAATGAAAGGGTGTAGTGACCCTTACTTTCTGAGCCCTGAGAGGTAACGTGAAATACAGTGTATGCACTACACTGTATGGTTGCTGCAAGATAGATATTAATTTGTGAAAGGAAATAGTGTTTCTTGCTTTCTGGTACAGTACATTATCTCTTATCACATAATAGCTTTGCTTGTTTTATCCTGTCCTTTATATACACACTTTCTGCTTGCCACTAGCCTTGATTCTCCTACCTAAGATCATGTGGTAAAAGCTGTGCTGTAGCATGCAAAAATCCTCCACCAATAGGAGTGCAACACACCTGCCTAGCACAACTGATTCCTTCTATACTGTAGAGGACATTTATCACTTCTCAATTTGGCATTCAGGAGTACAATCATACAAAAGTCACACTCAGTACATTGTATTTTTGTGTTAACTTTTTGACAACTTTAACCCTATCATCGCGTTTGTTGACTTGCATTTAAATTTTATTGAACTACTATTTTATGAATCTATGTCAATAAGTTTGTTATTAAATTGTAGATTATAATTCAAATTTTAGTATAATACATTAGTTAATTACTTAA